ATATTATTCACTGAAGGACTACGGCTGAAAGCCCACAACTTTTTGTATCACTGAGGTGTTCAAAAATACTGTGTGAGGTAAAAGAAAATCTATAAAAAGCTTCTAAAAGAAATATAATTGTGGTTCTTCATTGGCCAAAACCAGACATAGATAGACCTCTGGGATGATGGTCCAGGTTCAGATGTAGGTCAACCCAACAGGCAAGTTGCCTGGTTTGCAATTTGTGCTGGAGAACCTTTTTTTTCCCTGCACCAAAGTAGGCACTAAAGCACTGCAAAGTCCAGAAAAGCAATAAAGTTGTGACGTAAAGCTGTTGGAGGAAAGCAGCAGATTTTCTCAATCTCACCTAGGAATGCAATCCCGGCCCAGGGTCTTTCTGCATGAAATTTGCATGTTGTGCCTGAGCATGCTGCATAAAGACACCTGTTTCCAGGCCTACTGTTGGTAATAAAAAGAGGTCATGTTTGAAATCATGCATGGCACGGAAGGTTCCCAGGCTTTAATCAGCACATGTCAAGGCCTGTCTTAACTTTGCCAATGTCCATTTGGATGATCCAGAGGAATCATGGTAGAAAGTCATGTGGTCTGATGAGACCAAAATAGAACTTTTTAATCATAATTCCAATAACCATTTTTGGAGGAAGAAGAATGATGTGTACCATCCTAAGAACACCATCCCTACTGTGAAGCATGGGAGTGATAGCATCATGCTTTGGGGGTGTTTTTTCTGCCCATGTGACAAGGCAACTGCACTGTATTAAGGAGAGGATGACCGGAGAGGATGGGTCGAGGCTTGGTTTTCCAACATGACCATGAACCGCAGCACACAGCCAGGATAACCAAGGAGTGGCTCTGTATTAAGCATATCAAGGTTCAGGTGTGGCCTAGCCAGGCTCCAAGCCTAAAACTAATAAAGAATCTTTGGAGGGGGCTCAAACTGCGTCTTTCTGAGAAACAGCATAGAAACCTGACTAATCTATAGAAGATCTGTGTGGAGGAGTGGGCCAAAATCCCCCCAGAAGTGTGTGTAAACCTGGTAAAAACTACAGGAACATTTCACCTCTAATTGCAAACAAAGGCTACTTATTCTGTGTTTTATATTTTTTTATTTGTTTTATATGTTTTTATTTTGTGTACGGTGACCTTGAGCGTCCAGAAAGGCGCCTATGAAATAAAATGTATAATAATAAGAATAATAATTATTACTATTATTATTACTACTGTACCAAATATTAACATTGATTTTCTCAGGTGTTCACACTGGAAAATATTGAAATCTAGATAATCATAATTCTTTCTTAAAATAAGTGCATTAGTTCTTGGATTGAGGAAGTAAAAGAGACATTTTGCCAATAGAACAAGGCAATTTACATTTGAAATAAGAAAACACAATTGCATTGTCTTATTTTAGTGCATATTATCTAAGTATCTTATTTTAAGAGTAAAAATACTCATTCCATTGGCAAACTATCTCATTTACCTACTCAAAATAAGGGTAAATACACTTAATTTAAGACATTTATGACATTTTTACTCATTTCTAGATCGTTCTTCCAGTGCAAATATTTATTTGTAGCTGTATCATACAAATAAAAAGTAAAAAAACAAACAAATTATCCTTTTGTTTTTAGATTGTCTCTCACCGTAGACATGCACTGTTGGGAGCTGGAGAAATACACCTTTTCTCCAGCAGAGTCCGCCCTGGTTCCTCCCTGCTGAGCTGCTCTGCACACCTGCAGCTGATGATCTCATCTGGAGGACCTGGACTACTTAAGCTGCCTTCAGACCTTGCCTCGACGCCGCAGTGTCTTAATCAGTTGGTTAGCACTTAAGCCATAGATCCCTAGTGAACCAAGTCTCCTTTGAGTCCAACCTGGATTCTAACCCTTTTGTCTCTGCTTCCAGGTTTCCTGTTCTTTCTCCTGTGAAGCTCTGGAAGAGCTTAACCTGCCGAGCCAGCCCTCCGAGCCAAACCTGAAGACTCACTCTCTGGATTTCCTAGCAGCTCTGGATACCGAGCTGGAAACACAAGCCAAGGTCAAAACAGCCTTTAGAAGTAAGACGCTGAAACAGCTTAAGGACTCTGCCAACCCAAGCTTTCTCCGGACCCAACACTTCCGCTCCCAAAGCCTCCTCTACGTTCATCAAGGTACAAACCTGAACACAATCAGTCAAGTCTCAACCAAGCCTTCGCTAATCAAACTGTCTTTCTCACAGACGCCAGTGAACCGGTCCCAGCCCAGAACCATTGCATCAGTCTTTATTATATGTGTGAATTTGCCAATAAACTCTGTTAAACTTTCCATCCGTGTCGTCAGTGTTCTGCATATTGGGCCTCCCTGATACCCATCATGACATGCACCTATTTCTAAGTGGGAGAACTTGCAAAATAGCAGGGTTTCCAAATGCTTATTTTCCTCACTGTATACATTTAACTGAGATGCTTTGTTATAATCATAAACTGGGAACTATGAGTTTTCTTCTCTTCTTAGTGGCCCCATTGTTTCCACTCAGAGCAGGGGGCTCCATCACACGAGAAGCCTCCAGCAGATTTGTTAAGTGCCATAAGGAAATACTTCTTATAGACATTCAGAATTTTCCATCCCAAGCTTGTAACTTTAAGCCGAGAGCTGAAATAAAATCACACCAGGGACATTTTAGATGTCATCTTAAATGAGTCTTAAAAAGATGACTGTCATATGATCACCATTACATTTATGTCAAATTTATATTCTCTCAAATTTTTTTTTTTAAATGAGTCTCAACAGTGTGTTTTAGTCTTCCCTTCAAAGGGCATTATGGCTAGGAGCACCATAGTTAATAACATGCTGAATGTATATCAATCCCTTCCAAAAAAAAACCCAAAACATAAAATGAACAGTCACTTTTGTCCCGTTACCGTAGTGGAGGGTTTACCAGCAGAACAGCCTTTTTTAATGTAAGAAAAATGTAATGATTTAAGCTGAAAAAAAAAAAAAAAAAAATTAAAAAAGGATGTTTTTTTAAGTTTCCTGTCATGGTGTTTCAGGCATACTGTAAGAAGCTGATGGTTAACTAGATTTGCCTTAACAGTCTTGCTGGACTAGAATAATTTGGCAAAGTTACTAACAGCATTTTTTTGTTTCTGCATTTTTTATTTTATTTTATTTGTTTTTTATTTTTTCCTACTTGCTTTGATTCTGTTTTATCTTCCTGTATTTTAATCATGTAAAGCACTTTGCATTGTCTTTGTACTGAATTGTGCTATACAAATAAATTTGCCTTGCCTTGCCTTGCCTAGCATGAGTAACTCGACTTATCCAGTCATTAAAAGCAGTCAGACCGCAGTAATGTTATAGAAGTCTTGTTTTTATGACCTTTAACAGTTTTGAGGGATTTTGCTGTGTGATTGAACATATGTATAAAAATAAATGAGTTTCTCTCGATTAAACGGTAAGTTTGTAAGGTGGTCAGCCAGTCGCAAAGCATTCCCCTCCGCTAGCGCAATGGAATCCACCTGATGCAGCCACACCATCACCACCAGCACCACAGGTTGAGTCTGAGAGCCAAATATATGTCAAAACTCATACTAAAGTTTACGATACTCCAAACCCAGCTTTGCTTGGACGGGTTCCTGTTAAGTTTGGGCTATGCTTGATGCACGAAAAAAACGAGCCACAAGTCACAACGTTTGCAGCATTTATACTGTGCAGCTTTTGCTTCATTCTGGCCGGCTCCAGGATGACGTGTTCAGCAGAAGAAGTAAGCTTTCAACACCACACCTCACGAGGTAGTAGAAAACACAGGCGTTGACAACTTTTTCAAAGCCTCTTTGTGTTGCCCAAGAGCAGGAGTTTTCAACAATCTGTTGATAGTGGTGGTTTAGGGTTAAATCACAGGAAGTCTCCAGATGTAAACATTTGTGTCCCCTTGCCAGTAGGAGCTAGGGCTCCCTGGCTATGTTTTTAAGCATGGATCTGTCCACGTAGATACCAATTCTTTCCACACAGACGGCACGTGGAAGGAAAAAACTTGTGAAATACCCCATTACCCCAACCTTTTTTTAACAGTTAACAAGGAAAAAACTGGTTTAGATTACATATTGCATCAGTAAAACACAATCTCCAATTCCAAAGCCTCTACCTTTAAAGAGTAATTATTTAGGCTCATCATTCTGTTTTACCTTGTAAAACTATTCAAAACTGCTATCAATGCTCATTTTCCCCCTCAAAATGGGCCATTTCTTCAGTTCTTCTCTAGGGGGGTACGCCCAAACTTTGGGAACACCTACCTTGAACTACAGGTTAAATCTGTTTTATGAAGATAGTGAGAGCCAATCTATCTGTTACTTGGTCTCTTTGCCTTGGCTTCAGTAGTTTTCAGGATCCAGTTGGAGATTTTTCAGCTGCCTTTTTCAAACACTTGAAGGCGATTCACCTGCATAAGTTAATAATTTGCTGCACCATCACGCTCCGGTCAGAGAACTGAGCTCAACATCTCAGGGGCTGCTAGAAATCAAAGCCTCTGAATAAGAGATACACTGCCCTTGGTAAAATTTCAAATCCTTACTTAAGACACACTGCTTTTCATTGGCCTTTAGCTCCAGAAGTAAAGGACATTAACTTTGATGAACTTTCATAACTTCCATTTCCTTTCACTCGTCATAATTGCTTTTACTTATTTACAAATTACATATATTTGGGTTCTGTATTTATCTTAATCTGCTGATGCATGTTTTATTTTCTATATGCACAGAGTTTCTGCACCACAAGGAACTTTACTTGGCATGCTAAATAAATCAGTTTGACTTTGATCTTGATCTTAATTGAGGGATAAAATCCCTCCTTGGCTGACAAGTGTCTAAAAGAATCAGTAGCGCAGGTATCATCCGAGCCCCATTATCCTGCATAAACTGTGTCTCAGATTTGATTAGATGAGCTAACATTAGTGAAACCGCAAACCTCCATGGGTATTTAGAACAGAATAAAGCTGGTGGAAAGTGTGAAGCATGCGGGACGCACCTTTGTCTGGAATTTCTTCTTTCTGTCTGGCAGTAGGTAAATCTTCACGTATGGGTCGGAGAAGCCGTTGGCGTCCTTTGCTGGCAGGTCCAGAGCTTTCAGTATCTTAACCACCAACTGCTCCGTACTGGGACAAGAAAGAAAAAACAACAAACCAAATTATCCTCACACTTGAAATAAGATTAAAAAGTCAGGGCTTACACAGCAAACCCTCCGTGAGACGCAGACAGGATTAGCCCACACACAAACACCAAAACACCTGTGCTGAACTTGTGCACACAAATTGGAGTGGGAGGTTCTGCGTCTCTGGAGAAGAAGAAAAGGAGCAAGAATAGCAGGTGTGTGTTTGTGTGCATCTTCAGAGCTGTATCGTCGTTGCACCGTCAGCAAAGCTAAATGAAAGTTGGGTGAGAACAGATGTACTTAGAGCTGCACAGAGTCCACCCAGAACTCAGCTCATTAATTATCTTTAACACCTTCAGTCTGTTGTCACGTGGTTACATAGAGCTGTGGCCTGATATAGTGAGGTGAAGGAGCCCATTGACAGACCAAATGAGGGGGTCTTCAGATGATCTCGAAAAATAACCTCCACTTAAATGACAGGGAAGGGAAGACGCTATGGTGCTGGCTTTCCAATAACTACCTCATTTTTAGCAGCGCCTCGTAACGACCCTTTGTCACTATAAGATGTTGGTAATTCACTGAGTGGTTTTGCGCTCCATGAAAGCAGAAGCAGGTCTCTTAAGGGAAATATCCAACTCAACCTGCATAAATTAAGCAGTGTTTAAAGATTCAGAGATAAAAATGTGATATTTGTCATTTCTGAATTGAAAAAAAAGATTACCTGCCTACCTATTTTCAAAATCAAACATGGCTGCATCCTGTTTGTATTTGCAACACAAAACCAAATAATTTTAACATTTTTAACCAATTAAATCAGTCACACACGAAATGCTCTATAACCAATTCAGTCCAGACGCGGTATTTAAACATACACAGTGAGGACAACTACATCACCAGGAAACATTTCTTAGTTGAGACCACGTCAAAAGGTGGAGGGGCATGGGTGTTAGCTACAGTAGTTTGCCTTACATCATGCCCCCATCCATCTCTATAACACTTTAACCAAGGACTGCAACCCTTCTGTGTGTCTTCCTAGTTCCTGAGGGGTAGGCCGAGAAATGTAATGAGCCTCTGCCATAATTCTTCCAGAAGGGCACAGTTAATAAGTGGACAGTGATAAATTCATACTGGATATCTTGGTATTTCTGCCCTCACTAGTATAATCATTCCTACCCGACGTCATTACTGGTCTTTTCTATAGCAGGTCGAATTACCAACCTTGTCTGTGTCCTTCACTCCTTGCTTGGGTTCATCTTATATTTCAAATAACTGATTAGTAGTGGGAGGATAGCAGTAAATAATCATAATCAATAGTTGGAAGCTTTAGAAAATATTAAGTAACCACCTTTTAAAACTCTCACATATTATCTATTGTTTTGCAACCATTTCCAGATGTTTTTTTATAAGAGAACCTTGTCTTTTTAATCTTTTTGCTTTTTTCCCACCCTAAGCGCTTCTTTTTTCTCTCACCATCTTTTTATGAGATAACAACACAACTCTAATGAAAACAACACGCCTCTTGAGAATTCAGGTAATGGGGGTAGGGGGGTGGCTGAAGGAGAGGTGAAGAAGTGGAAAGCCTATAATTAGTGATATGCCTACATTACTGATCATATAATTTACAAATGCACAAACAACTGTCACATATGGATCAATATCAAATCATTTTTTTCTGCAGACCTCTAGTGCAGCTCCACCCGGTGCATACCCATTCTTTCTGCCACAACCCCGTCCACAGGTACCAAAGATGTTCATTTGATAGATAAGCAGGATGAATTGTTTTCGATCCAAATGCTTAGATGTCTACAGTGACTAAAATCTAGTCAGTTATTAAAGTCTTTGTGCAGCACAGAAAACAAGCTGTCCCCCAACAGCTTATAAGATTAACCAGAAAGTACAGCCTGCAAAGTCAATGGATGGAATCAGTTGTTTTTCCTGAGACAGAAAAACGCTCTACCAATCGGACTGTATTATCTGCCTGAATTGTCTCCGTAAAGTGCCTAAAGCTGACATGCATTGTAATATGCTATACAAATAAAACCAAACTGAATTGAATGGAATTCCAATTGAAATTCATCTACAAATTGGACACTTGCACTGAACCACTGCAGATATTCTATGAATGAATACATTTTGAGGATTAGAGATCTGACGAAAAACTTGCAGCTACGACCTTTAAACTTGTATAAATATAAATTTGATCGATTTTATGCAGTTTGGCTGCCCTCGATACTAACAGCTGATGATGGATTATAGTGACTGAGATCCTCAAGTAGTAAAATAGGGGTCAATCGTAACAGATAGTGAAACTGCCTGTTTCTCTAATGCAATGCCAACTGACATTAGGTCAAACAGAACCATTCGAAATCTCCTCACAGCATTATTTCTGTTAAAAAACAACAACAACAAAAAGATGGGCAAGACAAACTTTGCTAAGAAAAAGCTGAAAATATTAGTCTTCAAATTGCCAGGCTCGCCTTCTCTGTTCAATGGCAGGAAAATATAAAAACCAAGTAGCATGTTTTTAGAAACAAGTCACTTAGACTGCTCAAAAAGCGTCAGGCGGTTGGTCATAACGCTAGTCGCGGGGAGTATTGGCCTAGATATAGCAGTGGGCTTGTGCTCTAAAAAGGTTGTTAGTACCCAGTTCGATCCCCACAACAACTCTTAACCCCACATTGCTCCCCGGGCGCCACACAATGGCAGCCTGCTGCTCCCCAGGGTAATGGGCTAAATGCAGAGGTACGTTTCTCCAATGTGAGATTGATAAATTATTATTAGTATTCTTTCAACAAAAACACCTTTAATGGGTGAACATATTAGTTAGAATCTGGACAATCAGCAGCCTTGAGTAAAAATAGCCTCCCAGCCTCTTCTTGCACAGAACAACCTCAAAAAGGGATGCAATGCTGCAGGACTGAGAATATTTCTTTGTCATGCAAACAAACAAACAAATTCACAGGCGAGCAGGCTGGCAATGATGTCTTTACATACAAACGCTTTGCCACGCAGACGTGGCTGCATCTTACACGCCGTTAATTATGTATTTAATTACCAGATGAAGATGAGGACGGCTCGGAAGCTTTTAATCAGACCTCGTTAGGCTGTGTCTCCATGTGTTAACGAGGCTGTCAGCACTTCATTTGCTTCTGCAGGAAGGCAACGTGAGCTCGGAGGCTGAGGGCAGATCAGCGGGGCAAACGCCAGCAGTGACCCCACAGCAGCTGTAATGTCTGCGGGATATGCATGTTGACCTCACAGCTATGGTAAATCTGGACAAGTGTTTACCCCTGACTCAGATCATGCTAATACCCTCAGATAAACATCCCCTCCTCCACAGTCAGGTCAAATCAAGATAATGATGAACAGGGCAAACTGCTGCATGATGTTATACTTCAAAATATATCCACCAATTTATCTACTAGATAAATAATAACTGGACAGAAAGTAAGCCTGTGTCCAAAAGGAGGAAAAGATGTTACCTTGTATTTGATTACAGGTTTACTGGTACTTGTGTGTCTTATTACAGAACAATACATGAGCCTGAACCAAAGCTGATGTTTATACTCCATCTCAAAGGACGGCTGCAGAGAATACACCTATTACAGCTCAAACAGAACCCCACCACCTTATTCCTCGCAGGCAATATGGAAAGCATGCACTTATTCCCACTGTGAAAATGTGTCAGCTATTAATGGGATTGTCAATAGAAATGCCTTTCCCAGAAGGCCCGAGCAGGACTGACATTATTGGTGCAGACTGTTAACACTCCAAATCGTGGAGTCTCACACATTAACATGCCAATCCTATCGCAGCTTCAGCGCTGACACACCTCGACGAGAGCGTTTGCAAAGCCCACCTCTCCTAAATGAGAAAAGGGGTCACAGGAATAGCTTTTGTCATTACGCCTTTTCTCTATTAAGCTCCCCTGCTAATTCTTGGCATTTGTCTTTTGACAGCAACACCGTCTGCTGTTATTAAGTGCTGGCAGGGTTGCTGTTAAAACTGGCTCACATATATAATTCATGAATGAAATGGTCGCTCCCTTTCCTTTTTCTGACCATCAGCACTTTCACACTTTGCAATGTTTCAACATGTCAGGACAGGCCGAAACGCAGAACAACCAGCTGAGACACAACAAGCCCCCCACAGACCCCCAACCTGCCCTCCCCCCCCCCTCCCCGCTCAGGTCCCACAGGCACCTTGGTGCACACTTGCATTTCTGCACTCACCTTCCTATCAGCTACGCCTCAAGGTATCAGGCAGGTACAATCATTCATAACAAGTCTGTACCACACGCTAGTTACAAGATATTTCTGATCTTTTTATCAATCGCATCTAACTTTTAACCATTGCTTAAATTAGAAAAAATAAGCCAGGAACAAAAAAAAAAAAAAACCCCTAAAACTAAAAAGGAACAGTTTAATTCACTCCTCCACAGAAGTTCTAGTGCTTGTCCATGGATGGTGGACTGGATATTACCTGGTTATATAAGAACCTTCAACGAGCCCCAATCATTACAATAAAACGATAGAAAGTTTTTACACTGAATTTAATGTACCTGCATTGTTTCCTCTGCCAAACCCTTTCTTTGTGTAATTCAGTTTTTAAATATTGGTAATTCGTTACAATGCAGGCGGACAGGTGTGACCTTTAAACAATGTAACAACATGCCTCTGTAGCCATAGCTTAAGTTGTTTCCAGCAGGATTTATAAATCCCTACTGGTGATATTAGAAATCCCAAGACTATTTATAAATGTCATTGCAAGAAGGCCATCAACCAGGGTCTACACACACACATTATTTATATATATATATATATATATATATATACTTAGAGAGATTTTATTAAAAAATGTCGTTTGGAACAGCTCTGGACAATTAATTTTTTATTTTTTTTTAAGTGCAGCCTTGAAAAGTAGTAAAAAAAATATATATATATATACACACACACATACAGGTGAATATATATATATATATATATATATATATATATATATATATATATATATATATATATATATATATATATATATATATATATATATATAGTACATTTTATTCTACATTCTCTAGTGCTACTTTAATAGTTGTATTTATAAATGTCATTTGAAACAGGAGCATACATTTCCACCAGGTTTTATTCAAACTGAATGGTGATACTAAAACACCAAAAACATTTGTAAATATTTCTGCAACTAGGATTTATGAACATGAGCCAAAATCATAAATACTTGCTAATAATGTAAAAAATAAAGCAGCAATATTCACCAATGTCTACAAACACTGCAAACAGGAGTTACATTTAAGCAGCACTCATAAATATCTGGTTCTAACACTGATTGAACAGTGTTTATAAACAAAGATATATTTTATAGCAGATAGTGCTAGAATGTAGAATTAGGGGTCTTAATATAAACGGCTATAAAAAAAGAGATTTGTTTTTCTTTTCCAGTGCCAAACCCACCTGCTCTGTGTGTTTTTATGTTCTTTGTTAGTTTACTTGGAGAAAAAAGAAGAACATCTTCAACAGTTTGAGTTCTGATTGGTTGTTGGAGTTCATTCTTTATATGGGGCTTCTTTTCTTAGGCCCAGAGAGTTTGTGACAAGATGAAATAAGTTTTAGAGTAATAGAGTTGGTGCTCCAAAAGTGAAAACATAAGAAAACCACAAAGAAGTATTTGGAGGAAAAACGTCCTCCTTGGTTCCATAACCTTAGAGCAATAATGATCTTCTTCTTAAGGTGCAACACTCAGTTTAACCATTATGTGTTTCGCATTATGGAATCGTTAGAGTTATTACAGTGGGAGATACTCTGACATAACCTTTGATAAGTCCCTGGTGTAAATGGAAAGGATGAACTTATCATCCAAACTGCTTCTGTCAAGCAAACATGACACTAATGCAAGAAGAAGCTACCTTAGGCTGCAGGAAGCACTGCATCAAAAGAGCCACTCTCTGTCTGAGGACTATCCAAGTCTCTCACTATGACTTTTTATATCATGTTTTGGTGATTTATCCATTAAGATGCTAGCCTCTAGGTCTTGTAAGCTTTCACCAAAAAAAAGCAGTATGTGGGATTATGCATGAAACATGGTTCAGACTCACAACATTGTTTGAAAGCAATAATAACAGATATTTGTGCGAAAATGCTTCACAGTTTGAAAGTTCAGCACCCTGTCAGAATGCGTAGGCTGCTTTGGTTTGCTTACTTGAAGGCGTAGCGCAGCAAGAAGCAGATCCTGCCACAGGTGTCGCCCTGTTTGCCTTCACCCTGATCGCCTTTGGGTCTGTAGAGCTCTGGCTTGATCTGCCCGATGCAGGTGACCTGCTCCTTCTCCTCACCGTGGAAATCAGGGCTGGAGAGCTGGTGAGTCATGGGCTTGGGTCTAAGCACAGACATAAGGAATCAGAAATAAGAGCACAAACAAGATGCTGGGTGACTAGGTGACTCTGCAGGGTTATTTTCCTATGACAGTTTTTAAAATTATCCTTTCCCAATGCAACTGTCCTGGTATTTATAAAATGAACTGAATAAGCCTTAAATCAAACAAAAACTAGTTCCTGATTAAAACTGTTTGCAAATAAGTTAAAGACAATATACACTATATTGCCAAAAGTATTTGCTCACCCATCCAAATTATTGGAATCAGGTGTTCCAATCACTTCCATGGCCACAGGTGTATAAATTCAAGCACCTAGGCATGCAGACTGTTTTTACAAACATTTGTGAAAGAATGGGTCGCTCTCAGGAGCTCAGTGAATTCCAGCGTGGAACTGTGATAGGATGCCACCTGTGCAACAAATCCAGTCGTGAAATTTCCTCGCTCCTAAATATTCCACAGTCAACTGTCAGCTGTATTATAAGAAAATGGAAGTGTTTGGGAACGACAGCAACTCAGCCACGAAGTGGTAGGCCACGTAAACTGACGGAGCGGGGTCAGCGGATGCTGACGCGCATAGTGCGAAGAGGTCGCCAACTTTCTGCAGAGTCAATCACTACAGACCTCCAAACTTCATGTGGCCTTCAGATTAGCTCAAGAACAGTGCGCAGAGAGCTTCATGGAATGGGTTTCCATGGTCGAGCAGCTGCATCCAAGCCATACATCACCAAGTGCAATGCAAAGCGTCGGATGCGGTGGTGTAAAGCACGCCGCCACTGGACTCTAGAGCAGTGGAGACGCGTTCTCTGGAGTGACGAATCGCGCTTCTCCATCTGGCAATCTGATGGACGGGTCTGGGTTTGGCGGTTGCCAGGAGAACGGTACTTGTCTGACTGCATTGTGCCAAGTGTAAAGTTTGGTGGAGGGGGGATTATGGTGTGGGGTTGTTTTTCAGGAGCTGGGCCTGGCCCCTTAGTTCCAGTGAAAGGAACTCTGAATGCTTCAGCATACCAAGACATTTTGGACAATTCCATGCTCCCAACTTTGTGGGAACAGTTTGGAGCTGGCCCCTTCCTCTTCCAACATGACTGTGCACCAGTGCACAAAGCAAGGTCCATAAAGACATGGATGACAGAGTCTGGTGTGGATGAACTTGACTGGCCTGCACAGAGTCCTGACCTCAACCCGATAGAACACCTTTGGGATGAATTAGAGCGGAGACTGAGAGCCAGGCCTTCTCGTCCAACATCAGTGTGCAACCTCACAAATGCGCTTCTGGAAGAATGGTCAAAAATTCCCATAAACACACTCCTAAACCTTGTGGACAGCCGTCCCAGAAGAGTTGAAGCTGTTCTAGCTGCAAAGGGTGGACCGATGTCATATTGAACCCTATGGATTACGAACGGGATGTCACTTAAGCTCATATGTGAGTCAAGGCAGGTGAGCAAATACTTTTGGCAATATAGTGTATATTGTGAACCTTCTGACAATTGTTACATTTTATCTCAATAAAATATAATCAACTATAGTTAAGTTAATAAAATCCATGTAGATACAGAAAGTGTCATACTGAAATAAATATCTTCATTCTATTCAATTAGAATTAGCCCAAAATACACATTTAATAATTCAATACATTAAATCAACAGTTGAAATAATTTGAATAGTTCATTTTCTCAGTGGTTGCATGTTAATGCGTACAATCATTAAGTTCCAACACATCATTTTAATGAAGCCTGTATGCTTTATTGGTAAAAAGTAAAGTCTCAACATCCGCCCTCTAGACATCTGACTGTAAAGGAGGCAGGAAAAGATCCAAGGAAATTGAACATTCATGTATTTTACTGTAGTTCGACAATTAATAATTCAAACATGAAAGTGTTTAAGCTCTTGCTCAGAGAAAATGAACATAAACTTTAACTTTGACAATCTTTATATATGAAGTGGAGAGAGCTAATGTAATTAACAGTTAAAAATGTTTTAATCATCCTATTAATAACATAGCAACAGTCCAAACGTTTTATAAACCAGTGGCTAAAAAACACCAAATAAAAGCTATCACATTTTATGCTTTAGATCAGCTAGAGCTAGAAACATTTATTCTGCTAAGATTATTGAGATAAAATCCATCCACTGTCCTGCACCTCCCTAAGACCTAATCTCTAGGGAAGCAAGTCCAAGGGGAAGGCCTACACATCTGTTTCCCTGTAGAAAACCTTCAGCTCAGGTTGGTGGATTTCCAGACCTTCCAAAGGTCTTTAAATTGTCCCTCCAGGGTCATTCCCAGCGCTCAGGGTTGGAACATAGAACTGTAAAATTGCTTTTTGGCTCTGCTTTTATTCCACCACATCGCAACAGAGTAGTGCACACATTGCTGCAAATGAAGCCCTGGTCCATCTCCTATCCTATCCTATCCTATCCTATCCTATCCTATCCTATCCTATCCTATCCTATCCTATCCTATCCTATCCTATCCTATCCTATCCTATCCTATCCTATCCTATCCTATCCTATCCTATCCTATCCTATCCTATCCTATCCTATCCTATCCTATCCTATCCTATCCTATCCTATCCTATCCTATCCTATCCTATCCTATCCTATCCTATCCTATCCTATCCTATCCTATCCTATCCTATCCTATCCTATCCTATCCTATCCAAACCTATCCTCTATACCAGAGGTCAGAGATTAGCAGACCGGAGTCCGGATCCGGACCCACCTGCTAGGTGATCCGGGCCCAACCTAAAAATTACCTCATGTTATCCGACGCAGTGTCTAATTTCACTTGTGCCACTTCTCCTGTTTGTACGGTAAAACCATTCGGCACCAGGCTACACGTGATGCATATTAGCCAATGAGCTGTGTTAGTCAGGGCTGTTGCCGCTAGCTACTTTTAGACACAGCAGGCAAACCTGTGGCAAGCCGGGCGATGGATAACGATGATTAGAAAACGTGAAAGAAAGTGTGGACTGCTAGAAGAGGTGCAGTGAACTGGTGACAGAAAAGTGCAATGGCGTGCTCAGAGATGACCCTGCACATTTTGAGTATTGTTTGGCTCAACTTCCTGCTGTGAAGCGGGATTCTCTACCATGAATATTATCAAAAATAAATATTGATCCAGGCTCACGAATGAGCACCTTGATATGTGCTTTAGAAACAAACCCAGGTTTAAAACCTTGCAGGTCAGCTTAAAGCCCACGTCTCTAATTAAGCCATACAAAAGAAAGAAAAAACAAACAAACGGTCAGTTCAGGTGTTTTATAAAATATGTGAATCAGGAAATTCTCTATATACCAAACTGAACCATTGTTCTCTACTTCAAAAAAACACTTTAGATTTTAAAATGGAAACATTTTCAATTTAAAAAAAAAAATTTTTATTTAAAAAGTCAATGTACTACATGGATGCATGAAAACCTCATTTATTGCAGTGTTAATTTCTGTTTAAAGTTACGGATTATAATTAAAAATATGGTTACCCTTGCTCTATCCTATCCTATCCTATCTCCTAAATATTAATGGCTTATATTTTACATTGATAGTTTTAATATAAGACAACTTTTGTACTTTCAGCTTCTCCCTTATTCAGGAGTCGTCACAGCAACTTTTGTATCTTCACACAATTATTTCATAAACCTAGAAAAAAAAATCATTAGTGTTAAAGGTAATGACTACATTTTTATCTCAAAGCTACAAAATGCTAAATACAGTTAAAGGGAATGGCTGGCTAGCTTCAGCTGAGCCTAAATTAGGTCGATTCATGTTAGAAAGTCCATAGAATATTGTAAAGCCTTATTATGAGCAACAGAGACACATACATCAGACAAATGCTGCTCTATCCTCAGAGCAAAGTTAAACTGTTAGCTTTAATCCTCCATGTAGCTGTGTGAAACACATTTGGATGGCTTCAAGCTCTTCATTACACTTTTGAGTTTATTGCATCTGATGCAGCCAGCATAGTAAATTCTCTATCAGTTAAGTTGTTTAACTGTTTAAAACCAAAACAATAAGAGCTGTTATCTAAATCCATCACCATCCACAGTTTTGCATATTACTACATTTTCAGAGAGGATTATTTGCACAATTAAATTCTACTTGTAATCAATTCAGCTACTTGGAAGTCAGCGTTTATTATAAGAAATGTTTTGTTAAAAAAGCTTTTAATTTCTGACATGAACAGCTTCATCTGTTCTTAAAGTCCCGTGAAAAAGGATTTGACCTTGATACTTCTAGTTTTGCTTCAAATGTTTTAACAAACAGATTTTAAGAGGCAAAGTTGAGCTGAGTTAATAAAAATATTATTTCTCTTATGATTTACTTTGCAGACATGCCATGCCCGTGTCTTATTCACCTTCAAGTGTCTAATGCAGTGATTACCCAGAGTTCACCTGTGCTACACCTGTGATCTGCTGCATATGAGCCTCCTGTTAGTCTGCCTCCTGTCAGATTATCAATAGCATTTTCCCAGTAGAGTTTCAGCGTTTCCTTCCATGTTCTCCAGTCCACTTATTGATCTAGCCACTCGACCATGGATTTTCTCCTTTGCCCTGCCAATGACAAACCTTCTCTTCAAATCTGATTTCTGGACAACGAGCCTTGCTCTGCTTGCTGACGTATGATCGTTGACCGACCCCTCAGATGAGGATCGCCTTTTCTTCCACTGTGATTACTGGTATCGTTTTGGGTTAAACTTGAAAGAAAGGCTTCTTTCATCAACAGTACCAGGTATCACAGACTAAAGAGGGATGCTTACTGTATTCACTAATCAGACTCTTGCGCTCCACATGACCGGGCCTAGTCTCGGTCCCTCCTTTCCTTTGCCTGCTCTAACGTCACTGAAGCTTCTGCTGTTCAGTGTGCCTAGAAGCAGTACAGCTGGTTTGTATTAAACGTTTCATACGTTCTGAAACCCACAACAACTTATCCTCTCTTCTTACAAAGTTTCAATTGACAAGCCTTTTCAAGTGCTTAAAGGAATAGTACACCCAAAACATGATTAGCCTTCATTTTCTACTCACCCCCATGCTGAACAACACTCTGGAGTACTTTTTTGATATCTCAAATGCATCTGGAGATCTGGGAGGCTTCTTGCTGTCTGCTGACATTGAAATTATGGAGGTCTATGGTGACCGAGACAGAAAGGTCCATAAAAGTCCACAAAAAACGTGTCAATATTCCTCCATACTGCTCGTCCAATGTATTCCTGAGTGTCCTGAGTGGGTAGCATCCAGAATTTACTCGAAACGAAGTCATTTAGAATGTTTTTAGAGCATAAACAGTAGTGTATAGGATTTCCTGAAAGCGCGCGCATGCGAGTTCACGAGCCTACGGAAGCCGGCAGACCAAACCAGCGCATTCAGCTCGGCAAAGAACTCATGCTCTTCCTCAACACTGAAGTCCTCAGACATTTTTCTTTCGTTGTTTCTTTCTTTGCACAGGTAAACAGCACATTTCTTCTTCTACGCTTGCATTGTTGGCAGAGCAGACGCTGAATGCGCACTTTCATCTGGTTTGGTCTGCCGGCTTCCGTAGCGTCGTGAGCGCGCAGGCGCGCGCTTTCAGGAAATCCTATACACTACTGTTTATGCTCTAAAAACCTTCTAAATGACTTCGTTTCGAGTAAATTCTGGATGCTACCCACTCAGGACACTTGGAATACATTGGACGAGCAGTATGGAGGAATATTGACACGTTTTTTGTGGACTTTTATGGACCTTTCTGTCTCGGTCACCATAGACCTCCATTATTTCAATGTCAGCAGACAGCAAGAAGCCTCCCAGATCTCCAGATGCATTTGAGATATCAAAAAAGTACTCCAGAGTGGTGTTCAGCATGGGGGTGAGTAGAAAATGAAGGCTAATCATGTTTTGGGTGTACTATTCCTTTAAAGTCAAAAGTGAATAAACTATCATCCTGCATTGTGAATTAATTTCCCGATGTGATTCCCTCTGGATTAGAACACTTTAATTCAAGCAAAAAGCTAATCTAATCCACAAACTGGAGCCAGTAGCTTTATATTTCCTTTTTTTAATTAAGATTCAGATTTTCATTTCAAAAAATAACTTTCAGAAACATTTTTTCTTCTCTCTATTAAACCGTATCCCCTCACTTATTCTCTAGTTATGTTTGTATTTCCTCTGATCCCAAACACCTGTCAGCAAGACTTACTTCCTGCTCTTCACCTAACATTTTGAGTTGCCTCAAACCTCATCTTTTTTAATGATCCTTTTTCCACCAGACATCAAATCACATCTTGTTTTAAGTGCCGCTTTTAAAACCCAAGCAGCCTTCTGAACTTTCTGGGATGTCCAAAAGAATGGCAATTAATAGAAATTTAAAACTATTTGTACAACAGACCCAACATTGCATTAAGTTTAATAGTGTTTTCTTTTATTAAGTTTGTTTTATTCTACAGCAATAATCATAAACACACATCAGACTGACCGTGGGGTGACCTGCTGATGGGAATGGGCGTTGGGCAGCTCTTTATTGGGATGGGCTCCACCCTCTGAGTTGGGGACATCTGGTGACGTCTGACTCAGCTTCAATGTTCCTAGAAAAATGAAAAACAGCCACATCTGTTATTTAATGCTGCCTCCAATTCACCTTTAACACTGTGACAAAAGAACTGATGTTTGTTGGTTAACATCAGGAATCTGACTAGGCAGACAGAATAAGGGCCACCACCTCACATACTCTGTAAATAATAAAAGACTTTGCAGTGGAGCTGCGAAAATTCAACGGCAGGATAAAGCGTCTGGTGAAAAATCTAATCAAAACATCAGCTACAGTTCCAGGCTTAGTTTTGTATTTTTAAAATGATTATACGATTAACAGAGCTTTGCAAATGATGCGGTTGTGATCGCATTATCTTTCCAAACAGGTGTTAATGCCTAAATATAAATCGCTACGTTCATCTTACTGATTATTTTCACAATGTGACACCGAAAAGTTAAAATGAATGTGCATCTGCTGTCTCCTTCTGCAGGCCCTGAAGGACCTACAGGGTGCCAATAAGCCTCCAAAAGCTTATCGGCACCCTAAGGTAAATCTGCATAAAATCCCTCGGATTAAATTAATCTGTTACTGCAGAAGCATAATCTCACAGAGAACCTTTATTTTGAATATTTTTGTAAAGAATAAATATATATACAGTATATATACTTTAATTTCTTTAAAATAAATGTAGTGATTATTTCTAGCAATTTAAAGTCATTCTATACCTTTTATACATTATTTAGTTTATAAGTTAAGTTAAACCCTTGCAAATAAATTAAAAGGATTTTTTTTTGTTGCCCCATCATCAATAATGTTTATTAAACCGTACTGTGGCTTAAAGTAAAAATGCATATTATGGTTAAAAGAGAACATTATTGAGTTTAAGGTCAAAGCCACCTCAGGTGGGTTCATGGGATCCGAAATCTGCAGCTCCAAAGCTGCATGTGGCTTTTTAGTTTCTTGACTGTGCCTCTTAATAACTTTGACAAAAATAGCTAAAGAACCGAGCATTTTTATAAAGAGTAAAACTAATTAAATAATATCTGCAGCAGTTTTTCCAAAAGCAAGAATAAAGGAATGAAACTAACAGTGACTATAATATTCTTTACGATTTTTTTTTTCATTTATAATTGTTTTAAAATGTACAAAACTAAAACAATGTCATACAGTAGTCAGATATTATAAAAAAGCTGTTTTTATCAATGATTAAATTTTTCTGAATAAATATTGTTTATAAACGTTGCTGACTTGTGGTTTGCTGTAAAAATAAAGGATGAATAACAGCAAATAATGGCCATTGTTAGGTACAGAAGAGGCTCAGTTATCCTGTGGGCCTTTTTTGTTATTTTAAACTCCATTGGAATCTTATTAAAACACTGGACATTATAAACCGATCTTTTATCAAAATAATAATACAAAACAGTAAAAATATTGCTTTGGGCATTTTAGAAAGTAATATAAAAACTAAACTAATTAAATTACGTATTTGCCATAAAAGTTGTAATTGACAGGAAATACCAGATAAAAACACAATATTTCACACTTACATTATGTATGAGGGATAGTGATTTAGATCATGGAACGATTTACATTAAAAATTTAGGGATGATTTAAGTCATTATTTTGTTCCTGAAGATTCAATTTTTGGAAAACTGACTTTTTTCCAACAATCCACTGCTTTGGCTTCAATGTCAGTGTGACATCAGTTCATCTTTTTCTTCTTAGATGTCTCATTGTCTAAAACCACTAGCTGCAAACATTCATGTGTCATATTTCCATTTTTTTTTGTCAATCATCATCCCAGAGGGCATGCTGATTGATACGAAAACTATTTATTTACTGTTTATAGCTATTTAAAGCAATATATGCTAAAGTTGATGATGAATTTATTATGTTTTTAACCCATTTATAAATTTTAGACTGATTCTATGCAAAAACAAAAACATTTATTTACTAAAAAAATGTTTATTTTAACATTATGTTCATTCTAAAGAGTCCATCAGTGTTAAACATCTTTCTTCATATATTTGAATCCATCCAACTTAATAAGCTTTTATATGTTAGCATAATTTAGATCTAAAAAATTCAACAGTAGATCTCCACAGGGTTTTTATCCAACTAATTTTTCAGAAATTTTTAAATCTACCTTCTGATCATTGTGAGATTGAAATGTTTAAACATTGTTTTCCAGGTACTTAATTCTATCGTATGATCAGAAAAAAAATCAGAAGCCCCTTGAAGTGATCAGCACTAGTTAAAAAGACATAAGCAAATCAGGTTGTCTGGTAGAAAAACATAAAGGAATTGGTCTAAAAAAGGTCTGAGAGGTTTCTGTCAGGGAGGCAGTGCCAAACCTCTCAGAGGCAGGTTGGTGTCAAGCATGGATAACTTTAGAGAGCTTCTCACCAGCATTATTGGGGTAGGAGTCCATATCCAGGTATGAGTGTTCCTGGGTCTCATGTGGCCCCCCAACCACCCCTCCGCCTTCCCCCCTCTCCAGCCCCACCATGTCAGAGAAGTGGGGGTGTCCCTGCTGCCCCAGTGAGGGGTAGAGCGAGGACGAGGACTGGCCCTCTTTCCTCTGAAGCAGAGGGGGTAAAAGGTTCGGCCCTGTTGCCCCTCCGAGCCCTGCGGTTCCGGGCAGCAGCCCTGAGGTTAGACTCAATCCCCCGCCCTCCTTGTCCCGCCATGGCAGCCAGCAGAGCTTCCAGGAGACGAACAACGAGACAGACAGGAGGACGAAGCCGCAGAATGTCACGATGACCGACAGCAGGCTGACAGAGATTTCTGCAGAGGGGAGGAGAAAAGTGAGAACTGGAATACAAGACTTTGACTTGGGTTTACAGAAGAAAAAATAGCTCTAACTAGTAAGTCTAGCTTGAGCTGAGGAGGATATTTTTAAACAAACCATACCCTAGATGAGATGCTGGTGGTATACAACAATAATAACGGAAATAAATTAGTAGCTAGGGTTATAAAGACCAAATTATGAGGCAGGATTCATCATCTGGGATCCTAAAAAGCTTTATCTGTCTCACTGGTGCATCTGATGGATCTACGACACCAGCGTGAATGTCACCAACATGAATAAAAACAACAACCTCATCTCTAAGAGCGCACTATTAACACATCATGCATATGCCAAACAAATCAACAGTAAATACCACAAATGCACCATTAGCCGCAACATCTACAAATCACACATCACACAGCAGCAGAGGAAACTGCTGCTAACATAAAGTGTAATTTGCAGCCATTCTCTGAAGCTTTTATACAGCATTTAAATCCCGAGCTGGACATGTGGGAGAAAACGGGTGGGAAAAATGAGATGAAATGGGGAGGGGGCGATGATGATGGAGGCAATTAATAAAAAAAAAAAAAACACACCGACTGTGATCACGCTTTACTTCACAGTTGTGAGCCTTTGAATGTCTGAAAGGTTAGGAAAGGTCCAACAAAATCCTCTATCAATCTTGCCTTCAACTCAAGTCACACATTTATATATGTTTATTATTTATTTGATAATTTATTGTATTTTCCATTAGTTTATCATGTTTTAGAATAAAACAAATCACAATCATATCTCTGAAAATTGGTGCATTTTCTTAAACAAACCTAGCTTTGATATATCAATGGACATTTTTCAAAGAGGTAAAGGTAAAAAAAATTGGAACCAACAGACTGGAAACTGGAAATGTTAGCCTGCTTCATTCATTCCAAAGCTCCTTTGATTTATGTTTGGTTCCATAAAACAAATCTGTCTAAATTAGATAATCTACCTGTTGATTTGAGTATGCCAATTTTTTTGTTACGCATAGAAATAAAACAGTAGCAACATGAAAAACTCTTTTTAACAGCAAGAAATCTCCAGTAGAACCAGAATCAATACGAGCAACCTTCTGCTGGGGGTTCAAGGAGACAGTAAAACACTACAAAGGAGGTTCTAAAGGCCTATTTGATATAAGGCTTACTGTAAATGAAAGTTTTTGGTTAAACAAAATAACTCTGAAGGTCTTTACTTCATCATTTTAATGGAATTGAGGCGAAGTGATTGGAAAAAAAGTAAAGTTATTTACAGTAAGTTAATACATTTTAAAGATAAACAAATGTATCTTAAAAACATAAAGCCTTCAAAAAATTAAAAATTGCTTTCAAGACACACTTGCTGTTTACCTAACTGATTGTATTCATCATGACTTATGGACAAATATAGATGAGTCTAATCAGAATAAGAGAAAACATTATTATCTGCCATCTGATCAACTAAACAAATAGAAAAATATTCTGTATCTAGTTAAAACATGATCCAAGCAAGGTGCAGTTTGGTTTTCCGCAAGTAACCCTGAAGGCTAAAAATGAAATATATCAGATTAAAAAGATTTAAACCAGCGTTGTGCTGATCTGTAGATTCCTACAGCACGTTATGAGCCCTTTTAAGAATCATATTGAAGGACTGTATCAAGCGCAGCATCGAGACCCAACAGGTGAAGTGCAGAAACATGTCCATTATCTAAGGCCAAGAGAACATAAATAGTGATTCTTAACAACAGGTTCACCAGTGAATGATAAATAGCTCAATCTTCATCTCAACTTAAAGTGTTTCTCCTGAAGGCATTTCACATCAGTCAAGTTTGTTGAGTTTCAACTTTTGTTCTTGATTTTTACATTTGGTTTTTAAGACTAACACTAAAAAGTGCTAGCCTCTTGAGACCATCCTGATCTCGCGAGCTTTCAAGGTTTCACTCGTAGATCAGTCTGGCTACTTTCCGTTAAAGAAAATTTGGAGCCGTTCACCAAACGAACGTCCAATCAGCGTTGGCTTTGGGGCGGGTTGAGGTGTGATGCAACGAGAAACGCGACAGTTCAGTCTAAAGAACATGGCGGCTTCAGCCGATGAAACTAGCGTTAGCGTGGCTATCGAGCAAGTTTTATTGGAATTACAGAGTATTTCTTCACTGAAAGAAGAGCAAAACACTGCTCTGGAGGCTTTTCTCAGAGGAAAAGATGTTTTTGCTCTTCTCCCGACTGGTTTCGGCAAGAATTTGATCTTGTGGTTGTGTTTTCGTCGTCGCTCTGTTAGTACGTCATATGCTTCGTTGATCTGATTGGTTTATTTGGCCCGTCTATCACCAACATAGGCCAATCAGCTAACCAGTATTTTCGCCCCTTCCCAAAATTACTTCAACGGAAGGTTTCCAGATGGATATGCGGAGCAAATCCATCTGGCGGAGTCAGGTTAAAAAAGTGCATCATTATGAGGTGAAAGATGCTTAAATTTAGTCTTGGTATAAAGAGAATATTTAGGGAACATTAATCAACAATAATCCCCCTGAGGACTGAGTAACACAGCAAACAGGTCAGGTAGATAGTTGTGGATGCACATTAAAATAGGGTAAGGTTGTAAAGCCGAATCCCAACCTTTGAACATCTTACAGAGCGTTATTCAATCCAACATTAAAAAAGAGAGGGTATGGCATTTACAAACCTAACGAAACAATGTTATCTGCCTAAACTGACACCTGAAAGAGAGAATTAACCACTGAAGCAGCCAACAGAACAGACACAAAGGTCATAGCCGTTTGCTCTACACTTCTTGCAATCCCATTTCCAGTTTGCCAGGAACCTTGTAGGGGACACGGCAAACATATTGAAGAAGGTGCCCTGGTCAGATAAGACCAAAATAGTGCTTACTGGCCTACATGCAAATCTCTGTGTTCAGCAGGGAAAAGGAAGCCGGTCAGACGGGAAGAAGGATAGACCCAAATACAGGACAGGCCTTGAAGAGCCACGTTAGAGGCTGCGGGAGACTTGGGGTTGGGGACACGTTAGGACAACCACCTTTAACACATCAGAATGGCCTAGATAAAGTCCAGGCCTATATCTAATGTATCCATTAAAAGATTATGCAAAGATGATTTCCATTTTATATTTTCATCTTAACTTCTGCAAATGCAGGAGGGCTAAGAAATGCAGCATGAATATTTATAGATAAGTAGACTAAATATACAATAAATATTTATTCTTATCCTGGTCTATTTGAAGTCTTCTTATAAATAGCACATTTGGGTGTGATGACTGTTTTGACAAAGAAGGACCCATCAAAGCTCACACTAAATTTGCGTCCTAGAGCTCAGACCATGAATATGCATGGTTTGTGACTAGCCCAAGTAGACTCATTACAGAGATCTGCAGAGTGAGAATGCCTGGCCTGTCCACCCGGAGGCTTGACAGTAAAAACTGCATCTTTGCCCCTCTTGGGTTACTTCCAGACCACAGATTAGGAATGCTTAAACACGGAAAGGCTTTCTAAATTGTTCCCAATTTGAAAGCATCACAAGACAAGGACAGCAATATAACATAAACAAAACAATTTTATATTTGACAATGCCATAAAAAAGCAAACAAGCCCATCCTAGATTTGATTGTTACATTTCCAACCTTCATTCCTTCCTTTTCCGCTGCACTTTTTCCTTATGCGACTGCCTCTTTGTTCATCACCCCTTCCTTCTATCCTCTGCTTACTCTCTCTCTCTTGTTGGTGAATTATTCATCAGTCTGTGTATGTCATTAATCAGCACTTGTTCAAAAGATATGATTGGAGTGCCGAGAAGGTGGGGTGGGGGTGAGCACCGTCTCGGTAGAGAACAAGATCAGGGGAAAAAGATATAAGAACAGAGGGAGAAATTAGGGTTGGGGAAAAAAATGAGGACCAGGAATTGTCCGGGTGAAGGAAGAGGGGAAAAGACAGACTGGAACATGTGTTGAAACAGACATATAAGCTGAGGGGTCGATTCCACAAAGAAGGGAAGGGAGGAGGAAGGCTGCAAGGCACATATAGTCGATAGCACCAGCATGCCGTGTGTGAGAGAGCAGATACATAAAAGGTAATAATAGGAAGAGGAAGAAGAGTGGGAACACAGATGAAGGAGCTTGACAATGATTTAGAGGAAAACACCTGAAGAGAGGGGGAGCTTCAGAACGTGAAAGGTTAATGCATTGATCTGTAGGAGAAAAAACAAAAGGAGAGGAGTAGGCTGTGTCAGGCGGGGAGATCAGTGAGCACTGATAGCACACTGGTGTGATCAAACGTGTTCAGTGACAGGAGCAAAAACCGCTCCCCTCCATTTGTCTCTCTTTAGACAAGTCACTGTACCATCCCGAGCACTGATCCTGCCACAGATCCGTCACTAATCCACAAAGCATAAAGAGCGAGTCAGCAGGCGGCCGGGTTGGTGGGTGGGTAGCAGGCCTCTGAAGCTTGCCATGAGGAGCGGCTGAGGCTCCTTGTCAGTCAGAGACTGACGCAACCCCCGCTGGGAGTCGTACAATCCTCCACATCAAACGCATCTCCGCTGCTTACACAAGCCGTTCGCTGACAGCTTTCTGCGAGCGGCAGCCCTCTCAGGGATCGGACACTTCCATCAGCAAATGCAGGGAGATCACAGCCCCTAAAACAAGGAGCTCCACGCCTAAAACCGTGACCTGGCATTTCTGCACAGAGCCGTTCAAATCTCAGGAGGTATGCCAGGCAATCCAGGCTAATCTACGCTGAGCCGCAGAGTCATGCTTATCGGTGTAGCACATCCCATGGGAACCCACACGATACCAGCTCAGCAATTTAAGTTCTCGGATTGCTTTATTTGTTTCACTGTGACAATGCCCTCAGTGGTTACTTAATCCTTGAATTATAGCTTAAAAATAGTCTAATGACTGAAGTTCAAAAATAATAATAGAACTTTATCGATCTCACATTGGAGAAATTTACGTTTGCATTTAACCCATCCCCT